AGTTCGAGAAAGTCAGCGGGAGGGGGGAGAGAGAGAGATTGAGTTGTGTGTGTGAGAGAACGCCGACGGGAGCGCGCAGCAACGGAGAGAGGAGAGAAGACCCGTTTGAACGCGAGGAGAGAGAGAGAGAGAGTTTGAGTGCGAGTGGGTGTGAGAGAGAGAGATCGAGAGTGAACGAGAGGAGAGAGAGCGACGACCGTGAGGGTCCGGGTGCCTGAGGGACGGACGACACGGTAAATATAAACGTTACATTTTGAACGCACAGCGGCGCCCGTTACAGCCGTTAAGTTAGCTAATATTCACCTCCTAAAGTCGTCGCGCGCTCCGGAGCCAAATCGTCGGTTCCGTTTTAGCAGATGATGTGCGCGTGAAGACGGAGCGGTACACGGGGCGAGTGAACTTGGGGACTTCTTTTGTACAGTGGGAGGAAAATCACCGCCACCGGACAGCCGTTATATAACGGATGCTTATTAACCGATGTCCGGCGGAGGGTACAAGCCCTGCTCCCTCCGCCAGGCTTCTGCCCCCCGCAGCCACCAGCAGGTAACGTTAAACCGGAGCGCACCGTCCTCTTCGTTCACCAGATGCAGACAGACACATCAGCGCGCGGAGCCGGAGTCTAGGCGCGTGAACAAGCAGGCGGGGGCGCGCATGTCGGGGTTAACGGGTGCATTCGGTCTGAGACGCGCCCCCGTGTGTGTTTTTTACCTGACCCAGTAAAGCTTATCGTCGCTACACACTCAGACACGTGCCTCTCACCAGCTGCCCGCCCCGCAAACACCCCAGCCGGGATTATACACCGGTTATAAGAGGCCGTCCGGTAAAGGCCACGTGAGGTCGCTCACAATATTAATTGTTATATACTGCACGTTGTCAAGGTAGCAGGAGCAATAACCACACTTCCGGATGGGGCGTTTAAAATAAAAGTCGACACAAAGGCGTTTGTTTGACTACTTAACGGTACTTAATCACAATATGACATTATTATAATCTTTAAAATTTATCTGACGGAATTTATTTTGCTACAAAGATATCTGCAGTATTTTATTATATTTTGAATATGCTGGTTATATTTGGGCTTGTAAAATGTCAGGAAACTAAGAAAAACACGTTGTCCATGAAACCCCCAAATTATACCATCTTAAAAAATGTCACAAAAGATTGAAAAACATAAAATCTTTTATTTTAATAGTTTGAATAACTGAATTTTACACAATTTTGACATAAAAGAAAACTAAAGGAACAAGAAAGAGGTGATTTAAGTGGCCATTTTTCTAAATAAAGTTCCACATTTAGATAATTTTACAAGTGGGCAATGTTTAGAAATACAATTCCGTTTGAAAAGAAAAATAATACATAAATGAGAAAGTAAATATAAATTAATATAAATTAATTTGTTATAAATCTGAAAATCTACTTCTGTTATCTTTGTCTGTCAATCTCTGTTTTCATTAACATCAAAGCATTTCATGGGTGTGTTTTAAATAACATATCCCTTACTGCTTGAATCCAGAAAGGCCTCTTATCCCAATACTGCTGAAAGAATTTAAGATCTGTTTGTTTATATGTTGAATGTGATGGTAATTATTTTAGAAATTTCATTTCATATCTTTGCAAAATTTGGCTAAAACACTCAACTAGTTAATTATATATAATTTATTAGTTGAGAAATAGAGATTGGGGAATGATATGAATATTAATAATACGTTTAAATGCAATTTCTTTTACAAAATTCTATGCATGATCTAACTGGACATCATTCTCCAACAACATATACGTTTGATAATGTAAATATCTCAATCTGACAACTTTAAGAACACACAAGATATTAATAATATGTTTCCCACCTTGTGTTCTTTTAACTATAAACATGGTTGTAGTACCTTAGTTTTTGCATATGGTCAAATGTTACACCAGAGGGTGAGGTGTGTTGTGAGTATTTTGTCCTCAGATGACCTGTGTATTTGCAAAATCTGTGAAAAAGTTCTGTGAGTACAGATAACTAAGTGCTACAGTTTGGGAAATGTGCATAATTGTAAACCCAATTTAGAAAAAAAGAATTGGTCAGTGTTTTCATCACTTAAAAGAAAAGTATCGTTTTGCCTTGATTTGTAAAACAACAATAATAACAGGATAAAAACATTTGCAAACAAACAAGGCAATTTATCTTTTTAATAGGATGTAATGCTTTTATTGTGAAAACTAATCACTTATCACTTATGTTCCTGTCTTGTCGCTGCCTTATTCTCATTACCTTAACCTTCCTCTGAAGCTTTTTCTCTGCGCAACCATTTCTCCTCCCACCAATGCAGGCTTCTGCTTGGGCCTTTGACTAGGGGCTAATTTAAACCACTGCTGACATGAAGACTGGAACAATTTAAATCAGTGTATATTGACTTGCTATAGGAGGGTGAGGTGTGTGTGTGACCTAAATACTTAGGACTTGGAAGAGTTAGTTGGCTTGCAGCCTGGAGTTTGTGCAGGGTGCCCCCGGGAATGGCGGGGTGGATACTGTACAACCATTTCTGCAAAGTTTCCACTCTGTGTTTCTGCTGGTAACCCTGGCCCACCGCCTGTTGTCTTTACAGTAGGTGATGTAAGGCCTGAGCATGAGGAGTGACATACTGTACAATGCATCCTGAGTAAAGCCAGACACACTGGCTGCGCTCACACTGCGCTCGAATCCAGATCACTGCTGAAGTCTACAACACCACATTTTGAAGCTCCTTTTTGGGATGAGTTTCTGACACCTGTCTGAACAAATCACACTCACAAAAGCACAGAAACAACAGACTTCGCACCTAGCACACTAATCCAGGGGTGTTTATCTGAAACAGAGGCCATCCTGTATGGTGTAATCCCCAAAGATCAGCTTATCCCTTTAGCCACTGATTTAATCTGTGATTGAGGTTTATTAAACCAAGAGTCAGTACTGATTTAATTAGTGTTATATGTGGACACTCCAAAACCGCAGTTTCAGTCCTTCCCTCCTTTTTTTTTCAGAGGAGCTGAAAAACAAACAAAAGAAACCTGGCCACTTTATTATGATTCCCATGTCACTTGTTACCTGAACAATTTTTAGAAATTAAAGTTTCTACCAAACTAATGTGACTTGGATTTCATTGTGGAGATTAACCCTTAGGATCAGGATGTTTTCACAACAAGTAGTCCAAATCATAGACTGACATATTAGCAACCAACCTCGTGATGTGGACGCTTTCGCTTTGATGAAGTTTGGTCTGTTTTCGGTCTCTTCTTCCTGCAACATGATGGCATTCCTCTGCCCATCGGAGACCCTCAACATGAACAGTTTCCCTGTGCTCATGTGTTTATATTAGTCAAGCCGTACCTTTGTGCTTTGTGGGTCAGAGTAGAGATGTAGGAAGTTTAGGCTTTGCATGCATATCTGATTTTATTACTCGCCATATATTTGTATTTTATAGCTTATTTAATCTTGTGTGTACCTGCCCGCGGGTAGCTAAATCTGTAACAGGAAAGCTTTTCTCTTGTGAACAGTTCCTGAAAAATAGAGAATAAAACTAAACTGAAGTCACTTATTTAAGCTTGCAACTCCCCAAGAACTGGTCTGTCTGAGGACAGATCTCAAGACTGGTTTATCCCCGGTTTCAAAAGTGAAGCCAGTGTGGAAGTGTTTTAAATTTGCATTCTTTTAATGACCTGGAGCAAAAAGCCACCCAGATGTATTGACGTCTATGGGAAAATTAACACCACTAAACACTTTCCCCATGAGTTTATGGTCTCCGTTGCTGTTTTTATTTCATATTAAATGAAAACAATTGTTGATTTTGTAAGTTATAGCTGAGTGCACTGACGGAGAATGAAGCAGAGTTATTTTTTCTATGATCTGACAAGCATCTGCCTCACGAGCATATGACTCTTTTAAAATATAGTCTGGTTTGACCAATATCTGTACACCCAGTTAAAGTTCCTCTTGTAAGGAGAAAGTTAAGATATAAAAAAGATCCTAAAAATGGTTAATAGAACCATTAGTAGTTAATAGAATGATGAAAATGTCATCTGCTTTGGAAACACCTGACATAGCCCTAAAGCTATTAAAAAAAGCATTGTTAGAGTACTTTTGCATTAAGAGGTCATAACACTGAATAATGGTCACCGTTTGAGCATAGATTTTTGCATTTCTTACATAACTTGTGTTAGTCTTAGTATACTTAACAATATTGCCATAAAAAAAGATTAGCAAGCAGATGCTAGGACATATTCTGACATCTGATGGGAAGAGTCAGTCCTAATAAGGCTCTCTTTCAGTGTTTAAGTGTCTGTCACAGGCATGTCTGGCTTGGTTTTAAGGCATTTCATGTTAGGGCAGGGTAAAACCAGCGTCTTTCCACAAGCAAATCTTGCCACTCAGCAGCCATGAAGTGCCTCCAAATACTAGATTAGTTATTTAAACCAGGACTGACAAAGATGCATCCAAGTCAATAGTTCTTCATTTTTGTGATAACATGCATTTCCATTCCCGATGTTGGGTTTATTAGAAAAGGGTGAAAATAGATAGAAATGAATGCCATTTCTTGATCTAGAGGTTTTAAGTAAGTTTCAATAATAAAGATATTTTTGCACAGTTCTTATCTAAACCAGGTTTACACACACACACAAACTCTAACCCTTATAATAATTCAGACAGCCTGCATTTTAAATTAAAATTGGCCATGTAAGACTTGAGTGCAACCTCAAGATATAATAGGAAAAAAATCAGAATAAATTAAAAATAACCTAAACATTTGAAAGTTATGAGAATAAAATGGGGGATGCCTAAAACTGTCAGACTTAAAAGAAAATCTGTAAGATTATTTCTAAATAAGTGATAAAATAGACAGCAATTTAAAAGTAGACGTAACAAGCAGGACCCCTCTTTTAGTGAAAGGTGCAAACCATCAGCGCATTTTTTCCTAAAGATCAAAGGCTGTGCACTAAGGACAACAGTTATGGGACGTGATGGAGTGATGAAAGGCTTTAAAGGAAATAAATCAAACCTAAAACAAACAAGCTGCCAGGGCAGAGTAATTTGAACTGGTGTAGGATGTTCACTCGTTTCTGCTGCACTTTGAACAATTGCAATAAGCTTACTTAGAGGAATACAAGCATGCAGGACTATGCATTTGAAGGTTTCTGTGTTTTTCCACTATGATCTGTTTGCAAATGGAATGACCATAAACTCAATGAATGTGGAAAAGCTGAGATATAATTTGTTTATTTCAAGGTATCTCAAGTTTTGTGTCATCTATTTTGCAAATCAATCAATTAATTTGAGTTTTCTGCTAAAATTTAAGGGATTGGGGTGAAGGGTTTCTTTCAGCTCGGCGTAAGTTTTCAGTTTTTTAAAATCTTGGCAGTGACCTAGGTGAATGTTTTCAAAATACTGCTTTATACTTAAATTATGCAGCGGTTTTATTAGTCCAGGTCAGTTAAGATCAAATTGTGCTGCATGTGGCGCATAAACTAAAAAGAGGTATAATAAACTTTATTTTCAACAATCACTGGGGCACAGAAACTATACTCACCAGTCAAATCTGATAAAAAGAAATCAAACAAACAAAAAAACAAACACAAAGTTTGCTGACTTTGCCCCTAGTTATACTTCTCCCTCCATCTTCCTCCCATAGATATCAGTTAGGTATTCTTTGAATGCCGGGACTCTCTCTTATAATGCCTTTGCTGAAACATAGAGGGACTGAAATGTGATCGCAATCAGTGTTTTAATCTCCCAAGAAGAGCTGCGTCAATAGAGCTGTAATGCTTTCTTTGTTTGCTATCTTAAAATCTGTTTTTTTTCCTGTTTGTATCCCTTACATGCAATTTTAAACTGTGAACAGACATGCGCGCAATAGCTTGTTATTCTGCTACAGCGTGTTTTCCAATAATTGTTCGTAAATACCCCTGTAATACACCTAAGTGCCTACAATCTGACAAAACAGCTGGTAAAAAAACCTTTAGGGCTCACATTTCAAGCCATATGTTTATTAAAAAAAACAGGATTTTATCTTAAAAACATCTTCTGCGGTTATAAAACTGTCCCTGTGCTCACTTTGTTTTGTTCCTGCTCCTTGGTTTCGTCATTAATTACCTTCCATATAACAAAAAATGTTAATGACAATGATGAGATGAGAGGGTGATGAAATGAGAGCCAATATGAGTTCGAGTACTTACAAGGTCACACATGGTTGCCTCTCCACTGAACACCTTTCTCACTGCTGCCTTCCACTCAACCATTCGAGCTCAATAATGAGACACAATGTCCTAGAAAAAGGTTAATTGTTTATCAAATAAAAGCCAAAATTGAATGCTTCCCATATATGATAGAGTCTGCTTTATGTCATTGTAATATGAGTATCTGTGGGTTTTAAACTGTTAGACAAAGCAAAAAAATGTAAGATCAAATAAAACTTGTTATGGATATTTATGGAAAATTTTTCTTACTTGCTTGTTGTTTTATATTTTCTTCAATTATAACCCCCCAGTTCGTCCCTACCCCCCCCCCCCCCAAAAAAAATATTATATAAACAATTATTGTCAAACATGCCTCAAAAATGCAGAAAATGTAGGACATATAGGAAAAAGAACCAAGACAAAATAAAACATGATACATCACTGAAAAATACTTCTGTATTGATAGTTGTTGGATACAGTGTGATTGGTACCACAAGTACACAGATCTTTGTCATGCTTGTGGTCAGGATTTTGATTTGGCCTTATCTGCAGTCTGAATGCAGCCACTTTGTCTAATAAAATGGGACAGTTTCATCAGGTTGCATCAATCACTCTGTGACAGCAGTGATGACAGCTACCCTGATTCCAGCAGACTACTCTGAAGACACCTGCATGTCTGTTAATATGTCAGGGCTTAGAAGCTGCTTTTCTGCTTCCACTCGCCAAGCACAGTTCACAGAGCCATACCTGTAGTTTACCTGTAATGTGTGTGCAGCTGAGAAAGTAAGAAAAAGAAAGATGTCAGTCACATGCTGAGCATGATTCCTTACTCAGACCTGACAAATATGCTCCAGCTGTACGTGTACTTATGTGTGTGTGTGTTTGTGTGTGTTTTGTCTTTCTTCCCGCAGGAGAGGGGGAGGTCTGAGGGAGCGCGTTATTGTCTGACAGACCGAGACAGGTTGAATGAAGCTGCACCTGGTGCTTCTGAGGGCATTTCCCATGTTTTGATTTGCTCTGTTTTTTTAACTTTCTAAACTTGGTTTCACCGAGCTGTTCCCTGCCATGCCGTCCAACAGTCCTGCTACTGGTGAACCACCCCAGACGCCAGAGAACGACACTTCTAACGATGTGGTGAGCAGGAGCTTCAATATAAATAATAATACTGTATTTACAGAAACACTCTGACTGAATCAGAGTAGCAGTTATGTCTGTCACCGTGTGAAATTTTCACTACGAGATTATTGTAGTCAGAAGAATTCACAATAAAAATGTTATCACAATAAGAGCTACAAAAGCTAGAATGTTAAAAATTGTAGCTAAATAGATTAACTGAAAAGATCTAAGCCTGATTGCTAACTCAAATTTGTACATATATGCATGTGTAGAAGCTTTTATTTTTAAAATCTGATACCTTAAAGCTTCCTGGAATAACTAGAGCTTGTATTGAGATCATCTGACATGTTTGGGATGAACCTGATAACTTTTAACAACTATCTAAGGTCTTTAAAGTTGAAAACCTCAGAGAAAAAGCATCATGACGAAAAACTGACTACAAACTGGTAAACATAGCTAAGTCTGGGTTTTATTTTGAAAATCTGACATATTTTTAAAAGCAGTTGTCTCACTTGTTGACTATAGAGAAATTTACAAAAAGTACAAATACAATGCCGGCATATCCTAACACTTCTGGAAGAGTCCTAGAAGTACAACAAACGTAAAAATAAAAAAATTCCATTTAGAAGAGACATGAGTGTGCCAAAACAATGAAAGTACCTTCACATTAAAACATGAATTATGAAACACTCTCCAAAAGCCATAAAAACTGTGACAGTGTCCAAAGTACTGTGATAAATCCATTAGGCAGTATATTGATGAATAACCCGTTAATAAAGGCTTGAGTTATTTAAATTATGAAACATTACATCAGTTTTATACTAATTGTCTTGTATGGAGTGACAACAGTAATTATGTGTTACTGTATAATGTACAATATTTACCTCTTTAAACAGTTTTGTAAAACTAAATGATTATGTATTGGAAACACTTAAGTAAAGTACCCAAACTCAGCTGTAACCCTTGTACAGTTCAGCTCCTGCTGCTTCTGTCACTTTTATCATCACTGCTTCTATTATTATACATATTGAAGGAGTACTACTACTGTTATTTTTGCTGCCACAGATATTATTACAGCCACCACCTCTTTTACTACAGCTGTCATTACCACCACTACTTTGGCTTCTTAGCTCATGGTTGAGAGCTTTTTTTAGCCAGCACTCACAGAGAAGCTGGCAAGTCTGACTGTGTGTTTGTAATAACTAAACTTGTAGTGTTTTTTTATTTACATTCACTACAGGCCTTTCTACTTTCCACACTGTTGTTTGACCACATGTACAGTAAACGAGACGAGTGCAGGGTTTAGACTTTCAAATGGTCTTTAATTTTTTTTTTTTAAATTTTGGACACAAGTAAGGAGACAGGTGAAAAATGGCTCCATTCATTTGTTTTACTGCAGCCCAGGGTGGCCCTCGTCAATCTGTGAGAAATTTGTAGTTTATTCTATAGTCGTGTTGTTATAAAAAGGCCCACCTCAGTTGCCAGCTTCCCCATTCACATGATGGCATCAGACCAAAACAAAGTTTCCCTTATAGAGCTGTTCTTTCTAACTTCCTGAGGTCTAACTCTCTCATAAAGAGTCGAGCAAAGCCAAGAGAGAAATCGGAGGAAGTCTCAGTTTGAAGACAGAGGGGAAGTGATGGCAAGGAGACACATAAAAGAGGTGTGGGAACCTGACTCATGCCAACTGTAATCTATTGAACAAGACAGGAGCCAGAGGTGCCGGCAGAATCGCTCAGAGAGTAGCTAGCAAGTGTTTTCAGAAAATTTGCCCTTTATGCAAACAGATGGCAGTCTGCTAGTGAGCAAAGCATTCACAAGGAGGTTTTTGGTGTGGCGCTGTATATAAGTTTGCAATCAGTTTCACTTAGCAACTGCTAAGTGGTTGCCAAATGGTTGGTCACCAGTCTCCTGTCTTGTCCTACTGGGGCCTTATCCATTTGACCCTTAAGAGTCACATGTCTGAAAAATGTTGAAAGGTTAATTTCATGTAATTGGTGGTCACTGCAAAACCTGAAATGCAGAGATTCCCAAAGTGTTGACTGTTTGTCTTTTATGTGCCCCCTAACACAAAATTATATTGTAGCTTTCATAGTAATGATAATACATTTTATTTGATTTCTCTTTTCAAAACACAGAAAACAACGTCAACTTACATCATGAAATTTACAACTAGAACAACATTAAGAGAGATTAAAATCCTAGAATGATATGAGTGCAAAACATATAAAATTTAAAAAACTTGATAGTTAAAGTTGATATACTGATGTGAACAGGCAATGTTTCGGGCTATTATTTAACTAGTCTAGCTGACAGAGTTGAAGTTGAAGATGAAGCGCAGCGCAGCTAAATACCTTTAAATCCATTGTTGTTATTAACAGCAGCTATTGCCCTTCAAATATATTTGCATCACATTAGTAAGACGATGCAGCCAAAATGCATATCAAAGTATATTAAACAGTTAAGATAGTAAAAAAATCACATCTGAAGGGCGCCACTGACAAGAGCTACTAACATGCAGAGGATAGAACAGCAAGATAAAGTAAGAAATGGATGATTCAATTAAATGCACATACAAATCGTGCTAGTTGGGAGTTTATGTAAAGTCGGCTGTGCAAATTCATTCTGTTCAAGCTGAACATATGTTTATAGGTTGCATGCTATCCACAATTTTCTGCATGGTAATATACAATCACAGGCTTTCAATACTTCACCAGCAAACCTGTGAGCCCACAGATTTCTTAGGTGCTGCTCCTTTTCCCGAAATCACCAATCAGAGCTAAGGATGAGCTCTGACAAAGTAGATCATCTTTCTTCTCTAATGCCTGTGCCTGTCAGCATTTACAATACGCATATGCTTACAAAGACAGTTTGATGACTGTTGAAAGGTGTGCCCCGGGCGTAACAGCGATATGTAACATCCTAATCATGTGAAAAAAAATGTTTTATTTCATTTCCACAGCATTTTGTTTAAAAATAAGTTATTTGTGCTTCTGACCAAGTGTGGAGTGTTTATTACCTTCTAGATGTGGGTTTAAACATCCCTTTAGCCACCTACCTGATCTCTCCTGGTGTATGCTGTGAATGCAGAACTAGTAATAACAGTATACAAATTCAGACAGTTTCTCTTTTACGGTATATACGAGGTGCAATCAAAAAGCTCCTCAACCATACCTATAAAAAGCAAAAGCTATAAAAAGCAAAAACCTTTTAGCTTCAAGGTTATCTCCATGTGGAGCTGCACCACTCCATTGTCCTTCAGAAAGCTAAGTCTTCGATTTCAGAAAGAGGATGAAGCCAAGTCTCACAAGCTGGGCTGGAGTACAGGGTTCCCCACAGATTCTTTTGAGTTTGGGGCCAGTGGTGGCGTTGTTACTTAAAAAAGTAATGCATTGCGCATTGTGCACCACTTTAAAAAAAAGGAATGCGGTATTTTACCTATTTACTCCATGGAAAAGGTAAAAACCGTGGATTAACAGTGTTGTTTGCACCACACTGGCGGCACAGAACACTGCTTTTGCCTCCGTGACTACAAACACGCAAATTACCAACTCCGGAAGACAATTAAAGCAGCCAAATGTGAGTTCAGGAACAGAGCGGAACAACAATTTGACAATCCTAAGGAGAATGTGGCAGGTACGAAGCGCTGACCCCCATCGTGAGCAAATGCTTTGAGAGGCTGGTTGGGGACTTCATCTGCTCTGCACTACCCAACTCATTGGACCCTCTACAATTTGTAAACCGCCACAACAGGTCCACTGATGACGATATAGCCCTGACACTACATACTGCTCTCTCGCAGGTGGAGAAAAGGGACATGTATGTGAGAATGTTTTTTGTACATTACAGCTCAGCATTCAGTACCATCGTTCCCTTGAAGCTGGACAGGAAACTGCAGGACCTAGGATTGAGTACCTCTCTCTGCAGCTGGATTCTTAACTTTTAGTCTGACAGACGCAAAGTGGTCAGACTGGGCAGCATCACCTCATCCCCCGTCATAATGAATACTGGTGCACAACAGGGGTGTGTACTGAGCCCTCTCCTGTACTCACTCTACACCTACGACTGCACGGCCACTAGCAACTCCAACATCATTGTGAAGTTTGCAGACAACACAACAGTGGTGGGTCTTATCACCAAAGGTGATGAAATGGCTTACAGGGAGGAGGTCAGCGCCCTGACACACTGTTGGCGAGAGAACCGTCTCACTCTCAACATCACAAAAACAAACGAGTTGATAGTACACTTCTGGAGAAGTAGAGAAGCACACAACAACATTACCATCAACGGCGCTGCAGTGAAGCGAGTGAGCAGCTTCCGTTTCCTAGTTGTACATCTGGCAGAGGATCTCACATGGTCTGTTCACACGAACAAAAAAGTTCACTTCACATATATGCCATTTCTTTTGCTCAATAGTCATGCTGCTGACCTCTGTCTATTTTACTTTGTATATATGTATATATATACACACACACTCACACATATATGTATATATATACACACACACTCACACACACACATATGTATATATATACACACACACACTCACACACACACACATATATATATATATATATGTGTGTGTGTGTGTGTGTGTGTGTTTGGTATATATATTTAGTAATATGCATACATTCTTATATTTGTAAATATATTTATTATAATTCTCACATTCCTGTTCTTATACTGTATTTGGTTTGTATCTTATGTTTCTTGTGTTTTGCACACAAGAATTTCACCCACATGTGCTGTACCAGTGTACCAGCACATGTGATGTGACAAAAAAAGTGATTTGATTTGATTAAATTTTTTTGCACTGCTCACTGCATGTGGCAGCACAGTAGCAGATAGTTAGCAGTATTGTCTAAGAATAAGAAGGGCCATAGCTTGAATCCTGGCGGGAGTTTTATTCACTGAAGTGTCCTTTGGGTACTTCCGCTTCTTCCTGCAGTCCAAAGCCATTGATATGAGGTAAATAATGTGCTTGAAATGTATAGAGTAAAGTGCTGTTTGACTGTGTG